ATACTATAATAAGTAATACTGTCGGTGACTCGGTCCACATGGATCTTCATCGGTCGTCGAATCAACATGTCTCACCGTGACGCCGTGCCCGTCGACGCGCGACGCGCGACGCGCACGAGTGAAACAGGATGCGGATCCCGGAGAAGGTCGACCTGCGGCAGTACATGACCACAGCTCCTCGGAACCACAGCTCCTGCCTGGAGTTTTTCCGTATGACCCTCCGATGACCCTCCCATCCGATGTGGACGTTCATGTTTTTTCCCCCCCATGTTTGGAACTAGAGGAACGCAGAGGAACATGAGTAGGACGATGATGTTTCCAAAGGCCATGCCAAAACCATTTCTGGGATTGTTGGAGGGAGGGTTTAAGATGTTGCTGTTGTTTGGTTTCTGCTTGATTGAGAAGGGTGAGTTTGGCTTGGCAAGAAATCGCTCACCCATTTGCATTGGTTGCATCATGTTGCATCATGTTGCATCGTTGGATGGGCCTTGTGGGTTGTATCATTCTGCATTGTTTGTCACATTTGGTGGGTCACCTGCAGTGGTTTCAGAGGTTCGATATATTGCACCGGCACCTCAAGATGTCCGTGGAGTCCACATAAACTACCAGACCCTTAGGGGGGCCCATAGACCGTGCCATGTCTCACCTTTGGCTTTATCCCGTGGACATGTTTTGTTGTCGACCTTCGGCGGAAGGTGATCAGGAGCTTACCACGACTCCACGGTTCTCATGAGGTTGTTCAGAAGATCTCAGATTGTTCAGCCTGCTGGGTCAGATTCGACTGGACCTGTAGACCTGCAGACTGGGTCAGGCTGTTGCCGTTGGATGGTGGGCATTCCGTGTAGGCGATGGTAGGCAGCCCGTGTCGGCGGCCCTGTGTTGGTACAAAAACGACACGAGCAACTGAAAGAATGGCATTCCCATGCTCTATATCCCAGACACTCCATGCTCACCCCTGAAACCATCTCCCAAAAAAGCATGGCTCGTTTTTCGCGCATCCTTTGTTCCTCAGCTCCACCGATGGTCGTGCACCGGAGTCGTAGCGGGCTCAGGTGGAAGACCAGTCTCAAACCAACAGCTGCTGTGCCAATGCGGTATGCGGCGCCTACGAGTACATGGGCAAGCGCCATGCCATGCAGTTAGGCCAGTTTCTTCCGGATCCGGTGACTGGGAGGGAGGTGAGGTGCGGCCGGTGCCAACGAGGTGTGGCTGGAACGAGGTGCCGGCGCGACGGACGGTAATTTGTCTAAGATGTGGGGCAGCCTGTCGCATCCTGTCGCAGCCCGGCTGTGACAGCTGTCAGATGGGAGGTTAGTTTGTTTTTTCAGAGGTTTTTGCTGCCTGCGCCTGGGCTTTTGAGCCACAAGAGCTGGTCCACACAGGAAGGAGGTTCTGTAAATCATCAGAAATCACCCAAGTTCACAAGTTCACACCCTTCTGGCAAATCGACCAAAAAGACCTCCAGTTTTGGCCCATCTCCCCCCGCTTCTCACAGGGCAGGCGGTGGTGGACGACATCAGTCGGCTTTTCATCTACTATGTGGGTCGGAAGAAGGACCAGCCACTGGGCGACGACCGACCCGGTGATTCGGACAGAGCTTCCGCGGTTCGCACAGACGCTTCGACCGGTGCGACAGCTTGGTGCCTTAAAGATCGGGGTGGTGTCCCCGGCTCTGGCAGGAAGTAGGTAGAAGGAAGTAGGAAGAGCCGGAAGAGCATGACCAGTGAGGAAATGATCGAACCATAGTGGAAAGGGTCGAAAAGAATGGTCGAAAGGGCGACCAGGACCTTTAAGTGACCTCTTTGGAGACCCTAAGTGACAGTTTACAAGCCGAAGTGACCTCAGCCACTGGGTCTCAAGAGGTGACGAAGTGAAGTTGGTTTCCCGGTCCTGGAAGAGGATTTCCTCTGTTGTCCCGGTACATAAGCTGGTGGTACCTCAGCAACTCATGGATGGTCAAGTCCAGCCATTGCTTCGGCCCAGGAAAGCTGCATTCTGTTTGGTTGGTTGACGATTTGAGTGTGTTTGTGTTATTCTTTTTCTGGCTGACCATTCTAGTGTGTGCAGTTTGTTATGTTGTTGGCCACTTGCATCTCCTTCACTTTCCATGTATTTGTTTGTTTGTCTTCACCGGGCGCAAACAGATGCTCAAGATCAACAAGTTTAGAGCCTGAAAGCGCGGAGGCAACATGGTTTTGAGCTATTGTTCGTATTCCCGTCTCCTGGACTGTTATGAGACACCATTCGAGGAATACACTGCCATGGCAGAAAACCCAGCGTCAATACGTGCTATGAGTCAATAAGCTATGATAAGCTACAGAATTGCACTAGCAGGAAGCTGGATAGGCTTCTGAAAAAAACCTACTCGTACTAGACGTCCTGCTGTCGCTGTTGAAAGGATTGAGTCAGCATGAGCCTAGCTGTGACTGAATGGCTGTAGCCAGGCTGTAGCCTACAGACCTGCGGTCGTCAGTCAGTCATCCTCCACCGAAGTCTCCTCGGTCCGTCTCCCTGCGCGAGGACTCGCGGGTCATGACCCGCAGTCCTCCGGTTTCAGAGAGCTTTTTTCTGAGGTTGCGTTCCCGGGTGACCTGCAGTGTTTCACACTCAAAATGAGACACGATCCATGAAACATATATGTATTTTCTCAGAAACCCTGCAGTTTACATGCATTTCCAACAACCAGTCTCCAAAAAGACAGGCTTTCTACGGGTTTTTGCTGCGCTCACGCGCTTCAGTCATCATCATGTTGTTAGCGCACGACGTCCGTCCGTCGCGATGTCCTGCACACAATCCCTAGAGATCCAAGTACCTTGTCAGGTACGGTGATTGGAGACTTATGTAGGCTCGGAGGGCCCAAGCACCTGAGAAGGTATGTGGATCCCTGGGGAATGTCAGAAACATGTTCACACGTTGCCCTCCAAAAAATTTCCCCTTTGTTTCCATACTGCGACAGATGGTGCATAGGGTGCACTCCCTGAAATAGTCATTCGGACAATTCTCCGAGTAACACACCCTCTCCATCAAAAGCCTCCTTTCCAGAAACCTGCATCAGTGTAAGCTTCGGAAGTTGACCCAGGCAGCTTGACGACTTGCCATGCGTACTGCTGTACATTGCATTTGATGCGAAGCACGAAGGTCACGAAACAGACAACTAGCTAGCTAGGTTGACGGAAGATGAGGGAGCAGCATGGCCTAGCCTTGCTACAGTCGGCGAGCAGATTGGCCTTGCTCTTCCTTTATTTCCAGATTCTTAGGTCACGGAGGCGCGTCCCGAGATACGAACCAGGAGCCTGCCAGGCTGCCAGGAACAGGGGGCCTGCGCCTGGAAGGTTCGCCCGCACAGCAGGAGCCTGATTTGCAGGTGTAGTGTCTACAGCGTTCTTTGGGCCAAGTGTCTTCGCATCGCGTGCAAGCTGCAGTTGGTAAGCCCAATGTAACATAGAAGTATGCGAGGTATGCTGGCAGACCGCTTCAATAATTCTATCACTGGGGCACAATTAAAGGTATGTTCAAGGGGGGTGCGCGTACCCCCCTCTCAACCTTCATTTCCTGGTGTCCAGACTTCACTCCCGCTGAAGTGGCTTTAAACATTTTTGCTTGGAAGTTTTACTGTAAGTTTCATGATGATAGCTTCACCCCGCCCCCTTTCCTAAACGGTGTTTCCAGAGACACCAAGGGAGCAAAACAAATGTGGATTTTGTGTTGAGACATCCTTGTTTCTCTATGTTGCACCCCCTGATCGAAAATGGTTTCTCAACCCCATCTACACACCCGCGGAAACTTACGAAGCCGCCCTTTCTCTTTGTCGAGGCGGGCCGGGTGATATACAGTAATTCTGTTCGCTTTACTCCGACTCAGCTAGGGCAGCCGTTGGGGCCACTCTTGCAGAGTAGCTTGCCTGGCGAGCTGCGCGCACCTGCTCGCTTGCGTACACGCGCCTTCAGCCTCCGCTGAGGCAACTCTTCCGGGAGGAGCTCCGCCTTGGTGAGGGGGTTCCCAGAATCTGGGAAGGCTGTTGATGCTTGGGGCGTTTCAAGTTCGATACCTTTTTCTCGGAATGTTTGGTTCACTCCCTTTGGTCTTGGTTGTGGGGCCTTGACAAAGAGAAATGCCGTGTAACCCACCAATATGCCACAGTGGAATGTCCTCATCTGTTCAACTGGGGCAGGCTTCCCCATCTCGGCACAGCCCCTCCATCTCGCACAGGACACCTCGCACCTTGGTCGAGAGGAGCGGCGGTTGCCGGAAGAAGAAAGGATGCCTGAGTCGAGACATGGGCAACGATATGATTGCATTTTTCCAAGCACGACAAAAAATTCAAGATCCCACCTGTTGCGCCTCCAAAGTTCAGAGCAGTTAATACAGCACTTCCTGGCCTGTTTTCAGATTCAGGCCAGATAGGCAAAGCAGGAATGTGTCTACTTACAACTTGGTGTATTGTGCTCATACGGCTGCCACCACCCAACCGAACGTTTGGAACGAAACCAGCAGAAGACTGCAGACATCTTTGTTTCAATGTCAATGGTCAAGAACCTAGCACGTTCTTTCCAATGTTTCAATGCCGCCAGGTTGTTTTTGACGTCCCTGCTCAGTTCGACGTCAATGTTCAACTATTCTTGGCAATTGGGCCAACATGTTTTTCAAGAAATCTCGCACAGGAAACTTGAAGGGGCCGGCAATCTTTTGTGAACGTGAAAAACCTGCCTGTTCAGAATTCATGACATGTTTGTGTGTTTTCCCTCAAGATGGTCGGAGACACGGACGTGGAAGGACATCCAATGTTTTTGTCACTCGTGACAACACACCTTGATGTCACAGTGGATCGAACTGCTGAGCACACCTGGCTATCTGAACCCGACAACCCCGTGGTGACCAGAATTCCACCATCAGAGGTAGATTCAAGCACGTTGGATGATTTTGCTGCGCCCTCTTTCGGCAGATGGACCAACCCGGCCACCCCCGACACCACCCCGGGCCGTTTGCCTGCACCGCCCGAGGGTGGCACCCAAGGATGAAGGCATGTCCCTGGGAGGCGGATGTTTTTCGAGCGAGGGGCGAGTCGATGTTGGAGGATGTTGCAGGGAGAACACATGCAGAGACCGTACCTCTATTGTTGTTGTTGTTTGTTTGTTTGTTTGCTTGCTTGCTTGCTTGGTTGGTTGGTTGGTTGTTTGTTGTTTGTTTGTTGTTTGTTTGCTTGCTTGCTTGCTTGCTTGGTTGGTTGGTTGGTTGGTTGGTTGGTTGCTGTTGGTTGGTTGGTTGCTGTTGGTCGGTTGTGGTTGGTTGGTTGCTGTTGGTTGGTTGGTTGCTGTTGGTTGGTTGGTTGGTTGCTGTTGGTTGCTGTTGGTTGGTTGCTGTTGGTTGGTTGTGGTTGGTTGGTTGCTGTTGGTTGGTTGCTGTTGGTTGGTTGCTGTTGGTTGGTTGCTGTTGGTTGGTTGCTGTTG